ATTCCTTTTCAAACTAAACAATGATAACTTTTCCAAGAAAGTAAAATTGATCCAAAAAAGTTGATTAAGATGAATTTGACATGAAAAAGATCTTAAAAGTATGAAGCATTTACTCGATGAAGATTTCTTTTTCTTTCGTGATTCCTTTTCCTTCTTCTTCTTCTTTTTTTTCTTCTTAGTCTTCAAATTTTCTTCCTTTCCATCTTTCTCTGTTATGCCACCATTAACCACCTCAGCAACTCTCTTATCACCATCTTCACCATGCTTCTGTTTCTTTGATTTTGGTATTTTGCTTGGCTTTTCCCTTTCAGATTTAGGAAATTCTAAACTATAATCGGCTTCATCAATTTCTTCAAGTGAAAGAAAACCTGCAAATTTTAATAAAAATGACAAAACAGGAATGATATAAAATTTAGAACATAACCATGAGAACATCAATTGAGAGAATAAAAGTCACAAACAACCAACAAACTAAAATTGGATAACACATTCCATGAACTTTGTAAAGAACATAAGCTATCAGAAAATGACCTTAAAAGTTCCAAAATCAAACTCTCTTTCCTAACAAAGAGTTGAAAACATAACCTAACAAACAAACTCATATATCGAAGGCCCAGAAACCCAACTTTGTTTGGCTCCTAAATAAAAGTATTTATGTTCTAACTTCAATTTATGGTAAAGGGCATAAAATAGTTTTGAAACAACTAAAAGCTAATGTATAACTATTTTCCCTTAAAGTACGTATAACAATCCAATTTATTGGAATAACACTCGACCTTTGAAATTAAAGTACCCTAAACTTCAATATATGGTAAAGAGCATAAAATAGTTTTGAAACAACTAAAAGCTAATGTATAACTATTTCCCCTTAAAGTACGTAGAACAATCCAATTTATTGGAATAACAGTCGACCTTTGAAATTAAAGTAACCTTTGCAATTAAAGTACCCTAAACCCCACATAAGACACAAAAACCGCTTAAGAGATGAGTCCCATTCCCCCATTACAGCTCCAAAAGAAAATTTGTATGCATAAGTAGTCACCTATTCTCCATACCAAAAGATCCTGAGGAATAAATTAAAAGAAACAAACTGAAACAAGCAAAAAAAAAAAATCAAATGTGTTATTCTTCTTTTATGCGGGGTCTGTGCATGTCTAGCTTTCTTGAGAAATAAACAGCGAGAAACCTTACCTCCGTCGAGTTCACCGGAGCCAATGAAGAGAGAAGAGAAATGTTCGTTATCCTCATTAACAGAGAGAGAAGAGTTCCAAGTAAGTGAGTCAAATCGATCCCGTTCTGAGTCGCGATGAGTTATCTTTCTCTTTTGAGTTTTGGTTTTCTTTGATAATTGAGAAGGAACAGTTTCTCGTTCTTCTGGCGATTCTGCGACGGCCATGCTGCAAGGAGCGAGCACACACTGATTAGACCATACAGCACAAGATAA